AAACGCGATAAGGAAGAGCAGATACTTCTCATGAAGGACCTTCACGCTACCTTCGGGAAAGAAATAAGTGAGGTGAAGGATAAGGTTGCTCAATATGACAACCGCCTGTCGGAAGCTGAAACCCGAATCGACCAAGTGTACAATCGGGTTGACAATGTGATGGCTGACGTGAAGAAAACGCTGAACGACCTCAAAATTGGGGATGAAGTTACAGCTCCCGTGGTAGCTACAACACCTTCGCTACGTGGATTCAAAGTGCCACCGTTCGACGGGACTTCTTCCTGGTCGGCCTACAAAATCCAGTTCGAGGCTGTCATGAAAGCGAACGGCTGGAATAAAAGTCAGGCCATGACTGCTCTCACCCTAGGCCTACGCGACCAGGCATTAACTGTTCTGAAAGCTCTCGGTAAGGAAGTGACTTACGAGCAGCTCCTTGAGGCATTGGAGGCGAGATATGGCGATGCTCACCTGGAACACGTCTTTCGTGCGCAGCTCAAAGATCGCGTGCAACGCAGTAACGAAAACCTGCAGCAGTGGGCCCTTGAGGTGGAGAAGCTGGTTCGAAAAGCGTACCAGTCTGTACCTGCGCTCATCGTAGGGAACCTGGTGCAGACATTCATCGACGGCATCCCCGACCTTGAAGTCAGAGCTGCTGTGAGGCTCGGGCACCACGAGACGCTTAAGGACGCCTTGGCCCATGCACTGGAGGTGGAAGCCATGCGGCAGGATCATCGTTCCCACCGCGTCAGGGAGGTTGCAGCAGCTACAGTTCAGGACCGCAATAAGGGCTACAGCCCTAGGTGCTACGGCTGTGGGGAAAGGGGCCATCTTCGATCCAGCTGCCCTAAACGAACTGTAGAAAGGGAAGGTGATCGATATCGAGAGGGTAGTGTGGCTGACAGCACCGCCCAGCTGCAGCAGGGAAACTGGCGGGTGCTGGCTGATGTTAAAAGAGCCCCAAGGATTTCGATCTCACAAACCCGAGATGGAAACAGCCTGATCATCAAGGGCGAGGTCAACGGAACGCCATGTAAACTGACCATAGACACTGGAGCCTCTCGCACGGTTGTCAGTTCCCAACTTATAAGTCGGTTCCTTGGGGACTCCGCATACAACCGAGAACGCATTAATTTGGTGACAGCCACCGGTCAGCGCATACCCGTCCGTGGAGAGAAGGAGATGGAGTTGAAGCTAGGCAACATGATCTACCTGCATAATGTCATCGTGGCTGATATAATGGACGACTGCATCCTGGGCCTAGACTTTATGAGGAAGAATTGTTGTGAGATCGACGTTAAGCAAGGTGTTTTGAAATGTGGACAAGAGGAACTTTTCGTGGAAGGGGCGTTACCAGGGAATGTGTACAGCCTTAAGAAGATTGTTCTTCCGCCGAGATCGGAAACGATTGTGCCGGTTAGACTTCCACGGAATCCTGGGCAAACTCTTCGTTGTGTACTCGTGGAAAGGGTAGACAATGACCTTCCATGGAAAGTGGCTCGAACCTTGGTCAGAACCGCCGACATCTCAGGAGTACGTGTGCTGAACCTTTGTGATCAGGAACAGATTATAGAAAAAGGCACATTGGTTGGTACTAGTGAGGAAGTGGATTGGTTGCGTCAGTGCGAATATCTATCGACTGGGACCCCCAGCAAGGCTGGACAAACTAGAGTGACCACACTTTTAGAAGACTGTCGCAGCGTTCTCTCCCCGAATGAAACGGTCAAAGCGAAGAAGTTGTTACTCAAGTACGCCAATGTTTTCTCGTCAAACGAAGCTGACATAGGAAAGACTGGCTTAGTTCAACACAAAATAAACACAGGACAAGAATTGCCTATTCGTCAGCGGCCAAGAAGATTGCCTGTAGCACGTGAAAAGGAAGTGGAAACCATGATTCAGGGAATGGTGAAGGATGGTGTTATTGAACCTTCATCTAGTCCATGGTGTTCACCTGTGGTGCTGGTAAAGAAGAAGGACGGCAGCATGCGGTTTTGTGTAGACTACCGCCGCCTGAACGACGTTACGAAGAAGGACAGCTATCCCTTGCCAAGAATTGATGACACGCTGGACATGCTTACAGGCGTAAAGTGGTTTAGTACGCTGGATCTGAAAAGTGGCTACTGGCAGGTTGAAATTGACCCTAAGGACAAGGAGAAAACTGCATTCTCCACAGGAAAGGGCCTGTGGCAATTTAAAGTCATGCCGTTTGGATTGTGCAATGCTCCAGCAACGTTTGAAAGGTTGATGGAGCTTGTACTTACCGGGCTAATTGGAGATGCCTGTCTCGTCTATTTGGATGACATCATCATCGTAGGCCGTACGTTTGAGGAACACCTTCAAAACCTGGAACGCGTGCTCATGAAGATCCAGAGTGCCAACCTCAAGTTGAGTCCAAAGAAGTGCTCACTATTCAAACGGCAAGTTAGTTTTTTGGGGTATGTAGTGTCGGAAGAAGGTATCCGCACGGATCCAGAGAAAATTGCTGCTGTCAAGGAGTGGCCGGTCCCAAAAGACAAGACACAGGTTAGAGCATTTTTGGGTTTGTGCTCTTATTATCGACGATTTGTGAAGAACTTTGCAGATATAGCCAAACCTCTGCACAAGCTAACCGAGGAGAAGCGACAATTCTGCTGGGATGAAAGTTGCGATATTGCATTCCAGGAGCTTAAGAACCGTCTGTGCAAAACACCTATTTTGGGGTACCCTGATGCGGGCAAGGAATTCATAGTTGACACAGACGCAAGTGATATAGGACTTGGCGGTGTGTTGTCTCAACGGAATGGTGATCAAGAGATTGTGATAGCGTACTTCAGCAAGTCGTTGTCAAAGCCGGAAAGGAACTATTGTGTCACAAGACGGGAATTGCTTGCTGTGGTAAAGTCCTTGCAGCATTTTAGCAAATATCTTCTAGGGCGGAAATTCCACTTACGAACTGACCATGCTGCACTGAAATGGCTATTGCAGTTCAAAAATCCGGAAGGACAAGTTGCGAAATGGATTGAACTACTGCAGGAATACGACTTTGTGATCGAACATCGCAGCGGGAAATCTCATGGCAATGCAGATGCATTGTCAAGAAGAACTTGCCCTGAAGATTGCAAGCATTGTACAAGGCAAGAGGGTAAAGAAGTGGTATCTGCGAGGATATTCAGGACAGGCCAGCTCAGCAATGAATGGAAGGACAGCCTACAACATGCACAGCAGGAAGATTCGGATATTAAGCCGATTCTGGAATGGATGAAGGCCAGTGCTCCTAAGCCCAAGTGGAGCGACGTCTCAGCAATGAGTTCGACCACGAAAAGCTATTGGGCCCAATGGTACAGCTTGCTGATTCAGGATGGAGTCCTGTGCCGCAAATGGGAAAATGGTCGGGGAGACAGATGTCATTTGCAAATGGTTGTCCCTAAGGCTAAAGTACCGGATGTTCTACAACTGTACCATAGTAGTTCTTCAGGAGGCCACCTGGGAGTTAAACGAACTCTCCTGAAGATCCGAGAACGGTTTTACTGGGTCCACTGTGGTGACGATGTGGAGGACTGGTGCCGCAAATGTACAAGTTGTGCCGCTGTAAAGGGACCTCAAATTCGTAGTAGAGGCGCATTGAAATTGTACAATGTTGGTGCACCATGGGAGAGGATAGCCATTGACGTTGCGGGGCCGTTTCCGGAAAGTGAAAGTGGTAACAAGTATCGCCATTCCAAATCAAGAAGCTTCAACAGTTGCAGATAAACTAGTTCATGAAGTCTTCTGTCGTTTTGGAGTACCCTTAGAGATTCACAGCGATCAAGGAAGGAATTTCGAGTCTCAAATATTCCAGGAAACTTGCAGAGTTATGGGTACTCATAAAACACGAACAACTTCTTACCACCCACAATCTGATGGAATGGTAGAACGATTTAATCAGACATTGAAAGGTACCTGGCAAAAGTTGTGGAAAAACGGCAACGAGACTGGGACAGGCACATACAACCGTTTTTGTTGTCATATCGAAGCGCTGTTCACGAAAGTACATCATTGACGCCAGCTTTTGCAAACTTTGGGAGAGAATTACGGCTGCCTGCAGACCTGATGAGATGAAAACACGGTATGACCGCAAAATGAACAACAAGGGGTTTGATGAAGGTTCTCTAGTGTGGTTACACAATCCAGTTCGCAGCAAAGGGAAATCTCCTAAGCTTCAAGCTAAATGGGACGGACCGTACCGGATTGTGACAAGGATCAATGACGTAACCTACCGGATACAGAAAGGTGCCAGAGGTACTCCTAAGATTGTCCATGTAGATCGACTGGCGCGTTATTATGGGGCTAATAATGCTCGGGACGAGCATGTCTTCATACCGGATGTGGACCGGTTTGAATTTATATCATCCCGAGCCACCTTTATCCACTGATTACCTGCGTGTTTCATCAGTTCGTTACTCCGTTTAGTGGTGGTTCGACCAACAGCGCACTTGCCAGTACGAGGCTGCTACTTGAGAACCTTTATTCTACATCTGTTGTCGGTTCCTCGAGCTATATATAGACAGTCTATTGCCACATAGTATGATTATCTTTGGAATATTAACGGCTAATTCTACTTTTTTATCAGTTTATCACAAGGGACTTGTTAACATTAAGCAGCACGTATTAATTGTCATTTAGGCGCAAATTCTGACAATGGCAAATTTATTTCATCTCAATATTATAATATAATGTCTTTGGGTAAGTTTGAATAGAAAATTGGCAAATAATTATGTTCTTTTTAAGTGAAAACTTCTTCATGTACGTTTGGCACTTTTAGTATGGGGAAAAACACAGAACTCACATAAAAATTACGCTTAGATTCTTATTAAGATGATAAAAATAATTTCTAATAGACAATAATTTCTAAAAAAATATTTCTTAGCAACCAAAAATTATTTTCAAAGGTTTGTGAAGCTAAGAAGTTTTTACCACGTAAAATGATATGTTATGTTATAAAATGCAGGTTTAAGAATTTAATAGATGTGTATCAAGGCTATGGGATGACAGAAACTACAGCGTTCGTGACCATGGATTACTTCATTGGTGGGAAAAAATGTAGACTAGGCAGTGTAGGAGAAGTAACAAAGGGTACAGTGGTTAAGGTATGTATTAATAATGTATGATACAACAAAGCTTGGATATCAGATGTAATACAAAATATAAAATGAAAAACTCTATAATTTTAAAACCACATTTTATCTTCCACTTGATGCTTTTTTTAATTATCCATCTTGACTACTGATCATTAGATACCGGGTCAGGCCAAAAAAGTTGGGGATTGTTCACACTACGTAGCGGACCGCTCCGGGCTCAAATACAGAAGGCAGTGCTTCTCGATACCGTCCGCGCCGTCCGTTTGTTTCTTTTCCCTTTTTTATAGGAGAGGGGGCAAACGAGCATGCGGCTCACCTGATGGTAAGTGACTACCGCCACCCATGAACAACCGCAATACCAGGGGAATTGCAGATGCGTTACCGGCCTTTTAAAAAGGAGTAGGCTCTTTTCTTGAAGGTCCCTAAATCGTGTCGGTCCGGAAAAATCGCTGGTGGTAATCGATTCCACAAGGAAGTTGTGCGAGAAAGAAAACATCTTCTAAATCGCACAGTGGTAGAGATTTAATCCGAACAATTCCTCAGAGAACTTCCCGTGGTAAATGTGATAAAATACGCAAAGAGATGCAACATCTCTACGCAGGGCCAGTGTATCGAGCCGATCAGAAAGAACTCGGTCGTCGACGATTCGAACCGCTCTGCGCTGGATGCGGTCAAGTGGAAGGAGCTGGCACTGGTGCGCCCAGGCCCAAAGATGAGAACAGTATTCCATGTGAGGCTGGATTTGCGCTTTGTAAAGTTGCAGCGATGTGCGAGCATGAAATACCGTCTCGCTCTACTGAGCACGCCAAGCTTTTTAGAGGCCAGCTTGAGCTTCCCTTTCAAGTGACCACGAAACAGCACACTATTCGATATATCGACGCCGAGGATTCCTTGAAACTGAGGAGATACGACAAAGGGGTTCATTTTAGCGGTAAACGCGCAAACTTGTGTCTTCTGGGGATAGAACTGGACTAGATTTAGTCGCCCAAAATCCGAGACTTCGTTCAGCAAAGACTCGACTTCAGACACAAGTTTGTCCCGGTACTCGCCGACGTTTTCCCGAGAAATATTGGCACGGCCGGTATATAAGGCATCACCAGTGCTGTCGTCTGCATAGCAATGAATGTTACTAGTTTGCAACATATCATTGATATGCATGAGAAATAGCGTTGGTGATAGCACGTAGCCTTGTGGAATACTAACGTTGATAGGCTGGAAATCAGAGCATGCACCGTCTACTACGACCTTGATGCTCCGATCAGCAAGGAAACTTGTGATCCATTTGCACAATTTCTCGGGAAGCCCATAGGAAGGAAGCTTCGAAAGAAGCGCTTTGTGCCAGACCCGATCGAAGGCCTTCGCAATATCCAAAATAACGGCCAATGTCTCTTCCTTGAACTCTACTGCCTCCGCCCATCTATGATTTAGGTAGACCAGAAGATCACTAGCTGATCGACCCCGACGAAAACCGTACTGGCGATCACTAATCAGCTGGTGATCCTCAAGGTACCTCATGAGGTGGCAGCTTTTCTTTTCCTTTTCCCCTAACCCTCTGTCATTTGGTCTCTCCTGCCGAGGGCAATCGAATGGTTGGGGTTTTATTTATTTATTTAACTTTATTTTATTGAGATTAGTATTATATACATATATTTTATCTTAATTATAATCTTTTTTGTATATTTATAAGTCCCAACCCGATGAGAATACTAGAAAATATCAGAATATTAATAATTATTGTTCATATTGTTAGTTATTCATTAGTTACCGTGTGATAATGGCGTAAGAAAATCCATCACCAAAACCATCAACGGGTAAGAAAATCCATCACAGGTGACGATTGGAAAGCAAAAAAGATTTGTGGTTTTAGATGAATGGCGGTATACCGCCTCATTTTTGCTGGGCTCAATTTTGTACTTGTTTACTAAAAGTCCCTACAAGTTAACCTTCCAGAACTAGTCGTCTCTTTTTATGAATTTAAATTTAATTTTAGCGTCACCTATCCACAGGGAAATATAGACATATTACTGGTTAATTTTTTTTCTGAGATTTTGTATTAAACAGTGCTAACCATCTGAGCTACCATGGCTCAGATGATTAGCGCTGTTAAATACAAAATCTCAGAAAATATACTAATTGTGACCTCCTCAAAGTTTAAAGAACTTTATTTAATAAAATTTGTATAAAAAGGATTATCATAATATTAAGGAATTTATGGACGAAAATAACCCTGGGAGTTAGGTAATCACTACTAAGCTATTTCTACTTTGATTTGTATTGATACTTGTGTAGCATATATGAATGTGATTGTAAGCTGTTTTTCTTGCTGGCTATTTGCAGGACAGAGTTTATTTTTCAATTCTAAAGTTAAATTACCAAAGAAATTCTTTCAATAAGTATTATTTATAATCTATATTCAATAAAAAATATGCTTTGGTTTTTGTTTCTGTTTCTCTTTTTGCCAAATGTGACGATTTATGCAATCCTAACTACAGCAGGAGAGGCACTTATCCTGATCAGCTCGTAAAGCAGTAGACTTTTACGAGCTAATAGGGAAGAAGAATATTGCTAGCCCAAACAATATACATACATACATACGTATGATATCTCACGCCTGTTACCCAAAGGGCCTACCTCATTGGGTAACAGGCGTGAGATATTAGACAGAGACTTACGTACTTTGATTTATTATGATGCTGCAACATCTTTTCATTTTTTTCACATTCATATGCCTACACATATTTGCTCGTCAGGTAAGAATACTTTTAATTTGACCTATCTTTAATATATTACCAATTTGGTTGACAAGTTTCCGTCTAGGGCATCCCTTGCCGACTCGGCCATTCACTCACAAAACAGTACCAACAAACTTTTTGTTATTAATGTGTTTTGTTTTAGATTGTAGACGTAGAAACACGAGAACCATTAGGGCCAAATCAGAATGGAGAAATATGTGTTAAGGGCACAATAGTTATGAAAGGTTACATAGGAAAAGAGAGAAGTGAAGATTTTGATGAAGAAGGATTCTTTAAAAGTGGTGATATTGGGTACTATGATGAGGATAAATATTTGTATATTGTAGATCGATTGAAAGAGTTAATCAAGTACAAGGGATATCAGGTAAGAACCAGTTACTATAATACGAAAATATATGTAAAAAAGCTTTTAGAAAAATTTACTTTGCAAATATCCGCGTTATAAAATAAAATGATGTGTCTTACCTAGTATCAAGAGCACCTCCCGCCCTCCCTCAATTGCGTGCACTATCCCCGTCACCACTAATCCCAGCACCGCTACTCCCAACACCACTACATTAGGCAAGACACACCACTGACGATAATACGACACGTGTTTCGTCTCTACACGAGGCATCCTTAGCAGATATAGATTCTACGGTGGCTAACCGCTAAGTGAGCGGTGAGCCAAAACAAGTGCCCTTTATACAGACCGATGACGCAACCGCTCTCTACTTAAGGAGCGAGCGACTGCGTCATGCGATAAAACATGCGACCAATCACCGCCGGACTTACGCAGCCGTTTGTAAAATTAAAAACAAACCGCCGCGCAACGCCCACCCTCCAACCACGCAACCAATCACCGATCACCGTGAGGGTAACAAACGACCATATTGCAATGCTCTCTATTATTAGTGAGCAGGCTTAAAGATATTTAAGAGAGGTGAGTTAGTAACATTTGTTTGTTCATTCAGCAATGCAACTGTACTATTATTACTTTTTAATATCTCTAACTGTTCCAGCACACACAGCCGCAGCCCTTTATTACACGTATGTAAGACTTTAAAGGAGTGGTCGTTGGCTAGGTTGTGTCCAGTGGCCAAAAGATGTTTAGCAAAATGGGATTTATCGGGATTGCAATTCCTGTACGGGGCTAAATGCTCTTTATGACGTGGCTCGAAATTGCGACCAGTCTGACCCACATAAAACGGTACAAACAAGTTTGTAAACACCTGACTTTTGACGAATATCCAACTTATCTTTATTATTACAGATATTTCTAAGAGAATTGTTTGTTTTGAACGCCACATAAACGCCGTTTTGTCGAAGAGTATTAGCTACTTTTTCAGATATGGGGCCTAAGTAGGTCAAACTGCTCACATATCGATAAACACTTTGAGGTTGAACCGCGTACAGAGAGTTGCGAACAACATGCTTTTGTTTCTTTTTAATTAAATTGTTAATGAGATTTTTTGAAAAACCGTTAGATACCGCTATTTGATAAATTATATTAAGTTCTTTAAATAATTTTCTTTACTTAATGGGACAGTGAACAAACGGTTAATGTAACAATAAAAAGCGGCTACTTTATGTTGCCACGGATGACACGATGACAGGTACGATGATATGTAAAAAATGTGAAAATGCTTGAATATTTATTCTCTATCACGCGTAACGGTTAAACGGATTACGGACGCACATGGTTTTGAATTCACACATAGAATAAAAAAATTTACCAAGGGAAAATGTTACCGAACTGAACCGTAAAAAAGTTATTGCGGGAAATAAAGTACCAAGAAAAAGAACATGAAAGCATTTCTGTTGCTTATTAGTTTATTTCTGATCAAAGTTAAAGAAGCTTAGAAGTCAGCCACCGCAGAGTCTACTGAACCTGTGGATGCCTCTTGTAGAAGCGAAACACGTGTCGTATTATCAAGAGTAGTGTGACTTTCTTAGGTGTGGTGGTGTTGGGAGTGGTGGTGCTGGGATAAGTGGCTTCAATTTAATATATAATAATTCAATTACATGCACAGTGCGGGAGGTGCTCTTCAAATTGGGCAGCACACATAATTTTATTTCATTACGTGGAAAGAAGTAAATTAAGTTCTAACAAGATCAAAAGATGGATATCCTTATATAAATATAAGGATATCAGTTTTTTTATAGGATAAGGGTGACAAACGGGCACACAGTCCACCTGATGGTAAGTGGTTGCTGCGGCCCATAGACATCTACATCTATTCTCTGTTATAAATCAAAATGTAGATGCGTTGTCACCCGTGAGGACTAATATGGAATGTCTCATTTCCACCAAGCGAAGCGCAGAGGTAAACCTCTACTTCACGCTGATTTTCTGTGAGGTCGTGGTACTACCCCGGTTCGAGCCGGCCCATCCGTGCGACAGCAAAAGCTGCCGCGTGGCTCTACCACTGTTAAAGGATTTTATGATACTAATGAACAGAATCAGGCAAAGTAACCCCTGATTCTATTGATTGGTTTTTTTTATAGAAGAGGGGGAAAACAGGCAACAACTGCAACACCAGGGGAACCAGGGGAATTGCAGATGCGTTGCCAGCCTTTTAAAAAGGAGTAGGCTCTTTTCTTGAAGGTCTCTAAGTCGTATCGGTCCGGAAAAATCGCTGATGGTAATCGATTCCACAAGGAAGTTGTACAAGGAAGAAAACATCTTCTAAATCGCACAGTGGTGGACCGCCAATAATCCAGATGGTGTGGATGGTATCAGGAATTATGCCGCGATGTGCGTTCGTGAAATTTGGCGGCTGGGATTTATCCGAACAATTCCTCAGAGCATTCTCCGTGGTAAATGCGAAAGAAAATGCAAAGGGAAGCAACATCTCTTCGCAGTGCTAATGAATCGAGCCGATCGGAAAGGACTCGGTTCGCGACGATTCGAGCCACTCTTTATATCTTTCTCTCTTTATATAACATTGCTATTTTATATCTCTTTTTATATGTAGAATGGATGGAACAAACGATCACACAGTCCACCTGATGATAAGTGGATGCTGTGGTCCATAGACGATTTGATTAAGAATCAAAAGGCACATGTGTTGTCATTCCCGAGGACTACGGGGGAATGCCTCGTTTCCAGTAAAAAGGGTCTCCGATTCTCTACCCTCACCATACGAAACACAGCAGCGCGAAGCTATATATATTTTACGCTGGCATTCTGTAAGAGCATGGTCATTCCCCGGTCGAGCTGACCTATTTGTGCTACAACCATAATATAGCCCCAGCGTGGTTATACCACGATACTGCTTTTGCTGAACAGGAGATATGAAATAAGTTGGCTGACTTTTACAAGAGTAAAGGCAGTGTTAATGTTAAAGTAAATGATTACTTTGAAGGTAGCTTTGATTAACTATGACATCAGGATTGCTAAAAATCTCAATCATTTGTGATTATTTCAAAAGCCCTTTACAAACAACTAAATATTTTTTATGTCGGAATATGCAACATCCCATTTATGATCTCGGAAATACGTCAGGAGGGGTTAATTATTAAAAATAGTAAAAGTGTGAGAGCGTATGTTCAACTTACTCTCGTGCTTACGCAATCAATTATTATCAGTAATAAGACAGCTTAACGCATAAATCATTCAGTATAGAACAATTACAGCTCTTCCATACCGTAATAATATGTCTCCGTTACAATTTTACACACTGGTGTAACGTGTAGGACATAATTACATGATAACACCAAAGTATGCAAACCTACAGCAACATCACCCATCCTCCTTGCCTACCAGAAGAACCGCCACAACAGATAGTACCACGACACAATCTTAACACTCGTAGAATGACTTCATTCGTTGAATGACTTATGCGGAATCTCCTACTCACGGTGGCTACAGTGAACTTTATACTGCATAAACGAGTGGGGGTTTTTCGATAAACCCTCAAACGCCACCATCGGTATGACACTCCGCTAGAGTGATGCAACCTCTCACTCACTCTCGATCCAAACGGTATTTTATAGACGCACCGATATACATACATGTTGACTTATAATTTTCCAAAATTGTACACGTTCGAACAAATGGCACATATATATTTAGCAGAATTCACGTCAAGCTGAATTTTTTTAGTTTAAAAATTTATTTTAGGTTCCTCCAGCGGAGATAGAAGCAGTGCTTCTGCAACACAAGGGAGTGCGCGACGTAGGCGTTGTGGGCTTGCCTCATGATTTGGCAGGCGAAGTACCTCTCGCATTCGTTGTGCCTCAAACTGGTGTCGAGCTCTCAGAAAAAGAGCTTCAAACGTTCGTCGCTGAAAGGGTTTGTAAAGTATTTTTTTTATATAAAAAGGCTATATGCACGCACAAAGTAAACTGACGATAAGTGAAGGCTTTGACCCTCTCTACGTTTTATAAAAAGCATGTAGCTGCTTTTTCATGATATTATTCTATGAAAGCGTGGTCCTACCCAGGTCGAGCCGACTCACTCGTATTGCAACCATTAAATGCTGCTGCTTGGCTCTACCACGTAAAAATTACTTCATGTTTGTCTTATTTCTCATCTTATTCATTAGCCCATAAATCTCTTCTGATGAACTTCATTCCAAGGTGGACTTGCCTTAATCTTGCATGCTTGGCAAGCTGATTGGCGGTTGTAGTTTCAGATATCTTGCACTAACGACGCTGCTGTTCGTCACCTGTCTGGGCATTTTACGTCTGATGGTTTAACCGCCATCTACTGGATGCCATGAAATGCTTGTGGCTTATCTTATAGTTACCTTTAAACCACGGAATACAATGCGGTGATGGGATTCCCTTATGTTGCTCTTACGTGGTAATGTACTTAATGTTTGTAGCTATAATTAACTATTTTATAATTTATGCATTTACCTTCTTATATATGTCGGAGATTACAACAGAGGATCTCGATTTTGATCTTGGAAATACATTAGGATAGCGTTAACTGTTAAAAATAATAAAAGTGTGAGAGCGTATGTTCAACTTGCTCTCTTGCTTACGCAGTTTAATCATTATCAGTAATAAGACAACGTAACGCACTATACATTCAGTATAGTGAAATTACAGTTCGACCACACCGTAACACGTCTCCGCCACAATCACACACCAGTGTAACGTGAGGTACGTAATTACATGATAACACCAAAATATGTAAACCAACAGCAACACTACTTAACTCAATATAACACAGGGCAACCACTCAGCAACACCAATCCTCCTTGCCTGCACTAGAAATTACAACAACGAACAGAACCACGACACTATCTTAGCATCACTAGTAGAGTGACCACACTCGTTGTATGACTGAAGCGGAATCTCTCGCGCACAGCACCTACAGTGAACTTTATACTGCACAAACAAGCGGGGGTTTCTCGATATACCCTCCATTGCACCTCGATCCAACCGGGTATTTTATAGACGCTCTGACATATATATAACAGTTTCATCTTATATTAGAATACTAGCGATCTGCCCCGGCTTCGCACGGATGATTTCTGGATCTCGACAATAGCCCCAACTACTGGTTTCAATAGTGAATCTAAACCACCCAGGAACCCGCTCAATCACACAAATTATTTCATCAGAATCGGTCTACCCAGTTTCGAGTTTTAGCGAAACTAACGGACAGCAATTGATTTTTACATATATAGAGATTGTTCGCGCCAAACACTGTCAAGAATCGACGCCAGATGTCACTCGGCTCGGCACGATACCGGTTTGAAGTTCGGCCGAGCGTGGCAAGAGCGCGCGGGTCGCGAGCGAAAAAAGATGAGTCGTCTGCTAGCTGTGCTAATGTCTGCACGCTGTCAATTTTGTTAGGGAACTCGGAATAATTAGGTGTGGCTGACGCGCATTCCTGCTGGAGAGCTTCCCAGGGACTCATTGTGTCCGAATCAGAATCAGCATAGGTGCATTCGGCAATATTAGCTAGTGCGGCCGTTGATATTCTAGAACTAACTGTTGCTACGCGAAACGGTAGTGACCTTTGATCCGTAAACTCCGTGTGCGTTTTATGCGTTAACCTTATACCCAGCGATAGTTAGTGGCTTCTGTAAGTTAGTTAATAGTGACGAACGAGGAAAGTGACTGTGGACCACGCCTCGGAAGGCCCCCTCAAGTTGGAGCGGTGTCGACGCTCAGGCTGCTGCCGACGGCTAAGGTCTAGGTTCAATCACCATCAGTCACACCCAGATACACATCACATCACTTTATTTCCCTTGCACTTCACAACCACATGCGACCTGACCGACTCCGGAGGGACCAGTCGCCTTGGATATATGTAAGTAAGCTACGTCCTCCCGGTCGACTGGCCGTAGTATAGAACGCTCCCCCATATATTTTAGTGTAATTAGAGAGATTCCACGTGGACACATTGAGGCCCGACCTACGTCTGCTCGGGAAGTCTTCTGCTCATGGGCCCCTGAGGATTTGACCCTTTAAGGGAGCAGCCGTAGGCCGTAACAGAGATAAAGAGACTCTCTAGTTAGTATCATTTTTTATAGTCTCTGTTAGTATCAATTTGTTTGATGATGAAAATGATTAATTTTCTATGTAACTTGCTATCCAACTTCCAAGGACAGATACACAGTTGTATTAAATATCTTGGTTATTTTGTCATGTTTATTATATTCGTCATAACTTTCTAAATGTTTTAATAGTTAATTGTACAGCACGAAATATTATAAATTAATAATTAAAAAATTGCTTTTGCCGACATAGAACAGGATTCAAGAGATTTCATTATGTGTAGTTATTTATTAGTTTTATTATTATGAGTGGTGTTTACCTTCCCCAATTAAAGTTAATATATTGGATGATTTCATTAGAAGCGCTAACAGAGTATTGGAACAGGTGGCGGAATGTTTAATTTTAGGTGATTGAAACAGAAACAGAAACAGAAACTTTTTTATTCAATATAGATTATAAATAATACTTATTGAAAGTCACTCTTTTGTTTGATTACCACTGGTTCGGAAAAAAGCTCTGTCCTGGGAAGAACCAGCAAGAAACCCAGCGGGATTTTAATGTAAATACCATCAATTGGTTGAACAATGATGGCAATACAGTTAACTCTCTCCAATATGCTAATTCTAAAATTGAACAATTATTGTAGTATTTCATCACATCAAGCGACCTTAGACAGCATGACTTGTTAAATCCTAATAAGTTATTCCTCGATCTGATGTTGTCAAATATGGATAATATTAGCGCAACTGGGCCCAGCTACGTGCTATCTAAAATTGATCGTCACTATCCACCTATACAAGTTTTGCTTACATTTTTTAAGAAAGTTGTTAATTTACCCTTTACCACGAAAAATAATTAAAATATTTTAAAGCTGCATATGGTTCAATTTGTACAGCACTTCAAGAAATAGACTGGTATCGGGAGTTCGTTTTATGCGCCTCAGTGGATGCCATAATTGACAAAACATCAATACATGACAAATCATGAGTATCCATATTGGTTCTCAAAACAGCTTATAAAATGATTGAATGACAATTATCGATTGAAGTAGAGAGTTAAAAAATATAATAACCGTATAGATTTGATCGCATTAAATTTACTTAAAACTGTGCTACTTGTAGAATATCTACTGTACTAGTAGATTGGCTGTTGCTTGTTTTAATTCATATACGGCATCCCTTGAAAACAAAAATGTTATTAATTGTAAACTTTTTTGAATTATATCAAACAGAAAAGAGGTGGCTCTAGCAACTATCCCCGTGCTATGTCGAACGGAGTTCTAGTCTCTGAAAATATTGAAACCATTAGCAATTTCTTTGTTTCCCAATACTCCTGTGTCTATGTTGATTCTTCTAACATTGTCCCCCCAATAATTCCAGTGTCTGTCGATTATTTAAATAGTATAACTGTAACAAAAGGACACATATAAAAAGTCGTGCTACAACTTAATTTAAACAATCAGTGGTAGAGCCACGCGACAGTTTTTGCTATCGCACGGATGGGCCGGTTCGAACCGGGGTGTTACCACGACCTCACAGAATACCAGCCTCAAGTAGAGGTTTACCTCAGGCCCAATTCCCCTCCCCCATCAAAATAAGACTACCCCAGGAGGGTACCAGCACCCCTGGAGAATCCCTCGCTGAGCATCCACGACCAAACAACTCCACTCCTGAGCGTGTGGTGCTCAGGCAGCCTCGCGTATTCTGGGGGGGGGGGGGCAAAATTCCGCTCGCGACTAAAACTGCTCGGGGTAAACGGAGCAATAAAACGAAGGCGACCACTGTCACGCTATTCGTGAGTTTTTGCAATATCAGGGGACTTCATTCCAACCTTAACGCTGTCCATTACCATCTAGATACGGCGAAGCCGGCCTTGCTCTTTCTACCTGAGACTCAGATGTCCTCTCCGGCTGATACTTAATATCTATCCTACCCAGGGTACAAATTAGAATAGTCCTTTGTACCTCGGGCTGAAATTTGCGTATACGTCAGAGAGGACATCTGTTTTCGACGCCTCGGCAGTCTTGAAGGTACGGAGCTGTCCATCGTATGGCTGTGTGTAGACAGCGACGACCATCCCCGCGTCTACGGGTGCCTCTATAGGTCCCATAGCGGTAATGCCGACACAGACCGACTCATCGACCACGTCCAAATGGCTGCAGACTCCGTGCTACAACAGGTCCCATCCGCAGAGATAGTGATACTCGGTGATTTTAACGCCCACCACGCTGAAAGGCTTGGTTCCCGTTTAACCGATCATGCGGGTAGATCTGTCTATGACTTTGCCTTGGCATATGGTCTAACACAACTGGTTCCTTCGCCTAAGTGGAACCCAGATGTGGAGGATCATGTACCTCCCCTGTTGGACCTTCTGCTGACCTCTCATTCGGACGGATATCAGGTCTCCGTCGATGCCCCTCTGGGCTCTTCGGACCATTGTCTGATCCGGAGTACGGTGTCACTCACGCTCCCATCGCAGTTGCAATCTGCAGCTTGCCGCCGTGTTTGGCACTACAGGTCGGCCGATTGGGACGGCATGCGGTCTTTTTTGCATCCTACCCTTGGGGGAGGGTTTGCTTCTCGCCGGAAGATCCCAGCGTTTTTGCCGATTCTGTTGCTGATGTGGTACTTCAGGGTATGGATCTTTTTATTCCATCCTCTGTGGTGCCCATCGGAGGCAGATCCCAGCCATGGTTTGGTCGCTCCTGTAAAATAGCATCACGCTATAAGCAGGAGTGCTACCGGGCCTGGGCTGACGCATCATCGTCTCGGGATGTAAACACCAGCGCACTTAAAAAGAAGTAAGTCGTTCGGGAACCCGTGCATTCTGGTCTCT